TGTAAGTGTAGTTTGGTTGTAACTGTCTGACGCTGACTGTAAATGTAGTTTGGTTGTAACTGTCTGACGCTGACTGTAAGTGTAGTTTGGTTGTAACTGTCTGACGCTGACTGTAAGTGTAGTTTCCTTGAAACTGTCTGACGCAGACTGTAAGTGTAGTTTGATTGTAACTGTCTGACGCAGACTGTAAGTGTAGTTTGATTGTAACTGTCTGATGCTGACTGTAAGTGTAGTTTGGTTGTAACTGTCTGACGCTGACTGTAAGTGTAGTTTCCTTGTAACTGTCTGACGCAGACTGTAAGTGTAGTTTGATTGTAACTGTCTGACGCTGACTGTAAGTGTAGTTTGGTTGTAACTGTCTGACGCTGACTGTAAGTGTAGTTTGGTTGTAACTGTCTGACGCTGACTGTAAGTGTAGTTTCCTTGTAACTGTCTGACGCAGACTGTAAGTGTAGTATGATTGTAACTGGCTGACGCTGACTGTAAGTGTAGTTTGGTTGTAACTGGCTGACGATGACTGTAAGTGTTGTTTGGTTGTAACTGTCTGACGCTGACTGTAAGTGTTGTTTGGTTGTAACTGTCTGACGCTGACTGTGAGTGTAGTTTGGTTGTAACTGTCTGACGCTGACTGTAAGTGTAGTTTGGTTGTAACTGGCTGACGATGACTGTAAGTGTAGTTTGGTTGTAACTGTCTGACGCTGACTGTAAGTGTAGTTTGGTTGTAACTGGCTGACGGTGACTGTAAGTGTAGTTTGGTTGTAACTGTCTGACGCTGACTGTAAGTGTAGTTTGGTTGTAACTGTCTGACGCTGGCTGTAAGAGTAGTTTCATTGCAACTGTCTGACGCTGACTGTAAGTGTAGTTTGGTTGTGACTGGCTGACGATGACTGTAAGTGTAGTTTCGTTGTATTTGTCTGACGCAGTAAGTACTTTTCTGGAGACTGTCTGAATCAATACACACAAAAGAAAAAATGATTGCTCAAGAATCATTGATGTTTTTGATCATTAATTCTAGATCATGACACGCCCATCAACTCGTCATCAACAAATAAGCAGCCGTTTTGCCACCCTAGCCTTCTGTGATCTTTGCTGCTGCCTCACACGAAGTGTCACTTGGATAGGCATGATCTATGCATTCCAAGGACTGCCGCCACCACTTCCATTCAACAATGATCATTGGTGCAGATTTGTGGAATACTGCTTCGCTTCCATCCACGTAGCAGGTAAAAACTACTCACATAGATTATGTACAAGTATTTCAGGACGCCACAACGCATATAAAAAAAAAATGACAATACTAAATTTGAGATTCGCAGTAGCATAGTGTCTACACAAGTGTTTTTCAGTTTTTACAGGTGGCGCCCCCTGTAATATATGGCAAGACCCCTACCCACCCCTCGCCCAACTTGTTTTGTTCTCTCCTTTTTTCCCTATCTTTAAAGGTGTGATTTAAAAATCCCAAGCAATATTAATAAGAACTTGTAGAAAAACATCCACATAAATCAAAGTGCCAACTGACATAAAAGTAACAATTGCGAGCAACTGGTAATTGAGTGTTTCAATATCAGTGTCATGGCTGGCATGGATTTGTCCTAATGATATCTGCCTTTATGATCTGATGTTGGATACGGCACAACGGAAATCACTCTCCAAATCAAGCTAACAGTGATGTTGAGTTTTTATGACTGTTAAATTGTAATTTATAATTGAACTCGCGAAAAAACATGTTAGTATAACAAGTACAGATGCACACAATTTATAAATTGTTTTGCGCCCCCACTTTTCTGCAACTTCCTCGCAAACGCCCCCCCCCCCCCCCTCTTTACTTTCCACATCCCTCCCGTAAGAAAGCACGCCCTTCTTTTGAAAACCACTGGGCTAGACGCTAGTTTCTGACCTGAAGATCTTGGCTTTGAATCAGCATCAAGTCGACCCAGCGTAAAATGAGTTTCCGGTAATGTCTAGAGAAGTAAAGACGACCGGTGTGATACTGACCACATAGTCCACGACTGCCCATTCGTCTTTAAAAGTGTAGTCTTACATATTTCATAATCAAGAATGATGTCATAAAAGACAAAACCAATTCTAAAATTCTAACAAAGGAAGAAAATGAATATTTCGTCCACTTTGAGAGACTTCTCCATGAACCCCTTATATGGACACGGGAAGGGAAGACCAAGAGCGACTCTACGTAAAACTGTTACGCGGGAAGGCTCAACTAAGAAACATCTAAGACCTTAAGCAGGCGGCAAAGAACGGCCAGACACGGAGAGCTATGACCTCTGCCCTATCTTCCGTACTAGGCCCAAGAGGAAAGACTAACTAAATAATTTAGCCTTAATGAGGAAGAACAGAAACCTTTTTTGAGTATCTCCTTAGACTGCCGAACTGGCACAAGAGGAGGGAAAGAAAAAGCAGAATCGTTCAGCATCTCTGTAACCTAACTTGATCGTCGTAAGAGACCACTAAGCAATGTTACGTGTCCATGTAATTAAACCTACTTGTATAAAGTCGTGTCAGTTCACTATTTGAACAGACGAAATCCTTGAGTCTGTTCCGATGCTTCACTGGTGGAGAAGTGAGCTGCGTGGTCATGAGTTTTAGAGGTTCCGGGTTCAATCCCCGGTAAGGGCTGGGATTTTTTCACGTGGACTTGGACTTCTAGGGATTCTTCCTGGTCTCTGTGTAGTGAGATCAGACGCCCGTGTGCATGGGAAATTGAAAAAAGTAGCCTAACGGCGCTACCCGGGAAAGATTTGGAATTAAAAATCTACCCAAAGTATTTCATGATCCTCGCCGGTGCTGCAGAGCCTGTGCACTGTGCTGAACTTCTTCGGACAGAAGCAGAACACAGCACTTATGGGTTACTACCTGTGTGCCTTGATATTCATCCATTGTTTACAACCTCAGAGCCTTCGAAGTTGCAGTACATGTGTCTGAGAGGTGAGGAACAAACAATCTGCATACACTTAAGCCAGATCTGCAAAACGGATGTGCATGCGAAACTCAAGTTCTGGAACAAGACTAAAATCCAGAAGTGGACGAACAACTGCAACTTTCCATCGGAGTTTACAGCTAGTAAACGCGAAGAAGAAGAAGAAGAAGAAGAAGAAGAAGAAGAAGAAGAAGAAGAAGAAGAAGAAGAAGAAGAAGAAGAAGAAGAAGAAGAAGAAGAAGAAGAAGAAGAAGAAGAAGAAGAAGAAGAAGAAGAAGAAGAAGAAGAAGAAGAAGACAAGACCAGTTTTCACTGGCTGTGTGATGTGTACCATGATGCCCACCTTTACTTTAACAAATATTTCCTTGTGCCAATTTCAAGTTGTCAATCTGGCTTGCTGTGCGAGTGAAAAAAAAAAGTCGTCACTTTCAATCAGCATCCATAAAGGGGGAGCTTTAGGTTATAATTGTACTGAGGTTTATGTGCGCCATATAAAATGGCTTTACATTGCTCGCTACCAAGTAACCATGAAAAGGACTCGTGCGGTGTGGATGCGATCAAAGGAGACAGACCCAAATACGGTTAGGTTCACTTTAATCTCCCCAAATAGAGTAGGTCACTTTTCATTCACAAGTGTGTTGCTGGTCGACTTTCTCAAAGGTTACGTCTGTGTCCTGCTCTGTTGTTTGCTTTCTGTGATTTCTTGCATTAACGTCTTCATTTCAAGAAATAGAATACCTGTGACATAGGTTGCATCACTCTCTATGGAGGTTGTGTTAGATCCAGTTTTTCCATGATTTTGGAGTGTTAAAAGCTCTGGCGTGCTGAAATATACAACACTCGATATCAACGCTATTGCTAAACACCCTCGTAACCTTGTGCCAAGGCGACAGGTTCAGGAACTACTAATTAGAAGTGAGCTTGTGTGTATATAGGCGGGCGTGGGGAGACCGACGTTACTTTTACCCCCAAGTACTGTTATTACCGACGACGAAGTCGTCTAGCCTGCCCGCGCTGGACGACTCGGTCTCCAATGCTCAAGCTGTCCAACCATTTCGAACAATAATGCTTGGTCCGGGCTTTGGGTTACATCCTAGCCAGCTGGCTACCAATATAACATCACGGTTGAACTTACGCTTGTTGGGATAATCCAAAAATGGTGAAAATATGGGGGTGACTGCAGTCAAGCTAATACAATGAATTCCAGAGAAATTTGACTTAAAAGCTCAACAAAATGGGAAAAAGGAAAACGTGCACAAAACAACACAACGTAACGTTTCGGCCAGGCAGCCTTTTTCAAACACAATTTGAAAAAGGCTGCCTGGCCGAAACGTTACGTTGTGTTGTTTTGTGCACGTTTTCCTTTTTCCCATTTTGTTGAGCTTTTAAGTCAAATTTCTCTGGAATTTGTTGGGATAAGCATATCGATCATTGGTTGGCCGGTAGACGACTTCGTCGTTGATCGGGGCAGTATTTTGGGTCTGGTTAAACGTGGCGACAGCCACCCCCCCCCCCCCCAACCCCTCATAAAAAGCGGAAGTGCTTTACTGGGATTTGTACGGTAGGATTCTCAACTGTTATGAGTTAACACAACTGTGCATCAAAACCCATTGAGTCATTTACCACAACTCCCAAAACAATTCAACAATTTTAAAAACTGGTTCTAAAAGGGTTAACAATTGACAAGGGTGGTACCTGTTGAGAATTAACATCGCCACGTCAACATTACAAACTCTTGTGGATATACCATCTAAGCTTGCAGGAGTGTGAGACAATGAACAAATGGATGTTTTGGCTGCCTAAGCGATAGCTTCAGGAAGATTCTTATAGGACAATGGATATTTTCTGAAGACCATTTTTGAGCGATTGCTGAAGGAAGATCTGAACGTATGAGGATGTGTGAACTGGGAATTAAATGTATATATGGCAAGAAAGGACATGTGTGCAACCAGTACACAGTTAGCATCTACAGGTTAAGACATTTGCTGCTGTAGATGAAGCATCTATAGGTTGCTAATTGTTGCTAACAATACTTGCAGAGTCCTGGCTTGTGGCTTTCATTACCATGGAAAGAGCAATAGTTGTGGTCAACCCAATGAAGGGGGGAGACATCTGCGGTCCAGCCGTGGGAAAGGCCTGCCTGTATTTCTGCATGTGTGGGCCTTTCGTGGTGCTCAGCTACACCCCGTTTATCACTAAGTATGTTCCCGGGCTTGGATGTGCTGCCAAAATATTTCCAGACATGTTCTGCCACTTCTTGATCTCCACAATTGCGGTAAGTACCAGTGTGTGCGGCTTGCTCCTAATATGACTGACTGACTTTCTACCCCACCAGGACATCACACAAGCGATAAACACCGGATGACACAAAGTGCCACCATGCGGATGATGATCGCCGTGGAGATGTCCCAGAAACCGCGTTCAGACAATAGGCCATATTTATGGCCTGCCTATATTGTGGCCCCCGGCAAAAGCCAGGGTGGAGCTTCAAATAAAAAATTTCATCCTGAAAAGGGCAATATATCTATTGCTCCTAATATTCAAGTGCATTCTTCTTATTGACTGAATTCATTGGCGGACAGGTTTGGTTGTTCGACCAGTTCTGGACTTTATTCTAGTTCCAGATCTTCCGTTTAACAGATGGTATTTATTCGCTGTTAGAACTATTGATTCCTCGCCTCTCAGTTAGATAAACTCAGACTTCGAAGGAAACACTCCTACTTGGTCGACTTTCGACATGCATGCCATCCTTCGCCCCCCCCCCTTTTTTTTTTCACCACCGATACAATGGGGTCCTGGAGCTCACATGGGGAGAAAGTTTATCTACAGTAGTTTCTTTCTTCTGTGGTTAATGTCGCGCCGAAAACTACTGATTACAATTTATTAATCTGTATTAATATTTATGTTCGCTGCGCATATAAAATCTTCACAGCGAAGAAACGAGGAGGAAAATGTCACGTGATGCCCTTTCCAGTGTAATCATTACCTGCTAATGCTTACACATACACATTAGATATGCCTGGCCAAGATATTACAGCCTCTCTAAAAGAAAACAAATTGGGTCCAGAATTGGACCAGAACGTCCATGTAATATAAGCGGTATGCAATGGTATACAATACCAGCACCTTTCTAATGCATCCTTTTACTAGCTCTACTATAATAGACATTTTATGGCGCATACAATCACCGTTCATTAGCCATGTTGGAGTGAGTACCGGCAGCTTTCTTTCCATTAACAAAAAATTCCAAGATGATATTTCGTGCAGAGTGCTGGTTGATCTATAAGGCTGTCAGTTGGTACCAACTGTCCACTATGCCTCAAGGAGAAAGAAAATACATACATACGTACATACAGATATAAACAAGTGCATACACATATATATGTTCTTCTTCTTTCTTCAGAAGTAATGAAGACTTCTCTTGATTTCATTCGCCATGAAACTATAGTTCAGTTATGTGTGTTGCGAGATGAATTATAAGCCCACTGCGGGATTTAGAACAATGAGGATAGGGACCCGTAGCTGTAGATAAAGTACCAGTTATTTTCGTCCTTCTAACGTGTCTTCTCTGTTCAGCTGCCCTTTTCATAGATGCCTGGGAAGTCGCTGCATCGCTTGGGATAGAGAATAGTCGTACACTTTAAGGCTTTAAGTAATACCTTTAGCGTGTCACAAAAACACCTTTCTCGCCACCATGAGAGTGTCTACCATCTTGTATCTCACCATACAAGATGCTTTTTGGGAACTGATGGTCTGACATGAGCACGAGGTGACCTGTCTGTTCATCAACTCATTGACTGAGTTAGGATTATATCTTTGCTAGGAATGCCAGATTTATTTTGTCCTCAATATCCAGAACCATGTCTTGCCACTTGATGTTCAATATCTTTCTCATACAGTGTGGAAGTGATTTAAGTTTCTTCACACATACACGCATCTACACACACATACGAGCGCGCAACGTACACACATTATCATTATCGTAATCAATCAGCATATGTGTTACAGAACGTCGCTATCGTCATTGAATGTCTCTTTTTATTTACCGAATTCTCCAGCCCTATGTGCATTCACAGCCGGTACATCTGCAGTGTTTTATTTCTAGCTTCCGTTTAGAATGTCTAGAGATACGCAATGTAATAGTTTCCCCTTGCTTTTCACCTCCCTGTTGGCTGAGCATTGTCTGAACCTTGTTAGGTCGCCAGGGTGAGTGAGCATCCTGCTCGGCGGTGCTGTTGCTACACAAACATATATCACACACAGTATGTGTACATATATACAAACGAACATACATAACAACACACACACACACGATCACAACGACACCACACACTGACACTACACACCATAAAATATCTATAATCAGGGATTTTTATAGAAACCGACGCTGGTACGAATCACATTGCAATGGTTTCCCGTTGTGATCTTGAACAAGGAAGACACAAACAATAGATTGCCGCAATAAACCGGTTTATTAGAGAACTATGCAGACAAAAGGACATGCTTTAAACCTTGCGCTGACGAGTTACAGCGAAAAATGACAGGCAAAAAACTGCGCAATCTACCGTCTTTGTCTTTTTTGGGTCATTGTACTCACCACAAATTGCTTGCTAAAGGCGCTCTGAAATAAAATGATGCCCAAAAGGGTGACAATCCTGGGAACACAAAAGATCTGCATACTTCACACATATACTCACAAACACATATATCACATATTTAATCATACACAGACACATACATCACACAGATACTTACACACATATACATCACACATGTACTCACAAACACATATATCACATATTTAATCATACACAGACACAAACATCACACATATCCTTACACACACACACACACACACATCACACATATCCTCACACGCAAATATTTATCACACATATAATCACACACACATACAACACACACATACAACACACACATACTCACACACACAAACATCACACATACACTCACACACACATACAACACACTATCCTAACACACACACATACAACACACATATACTCATACCCGCATACATTAAACATGTACCTACACACAAACATACATTACACAGATACTCGCACCCACATATATCACACATATCTTCACACATACATACATCACACATATACTCACACATATACTCACACCCACATACATTGAACATATCCTCACACATACACATACATCACACATATACTCACACACACACATACATTACACGTATACTCACACACACACATACATTACACATTTACTCACACATATACATCACACATATCCTCACACAAACATACATCACACATATCCTCACACACATACATCACACATATTTTCACACACACATACGTCACACATATACTCTTACACACACATACATCACACATATTCTAAAACACATACATACATCACACATATACTCACACACATATATATTACACATACACTCACACACACATACATTAAACATATACTCACACACATACATCACACACATACACACACATAGATCACATATACTTATACACATACATCACACATATACTCACACACATACATCACACATATACACACACATAGATCACATATACTTATACACATACATCACACATATACTCACACACACACATACATCATACATATACTCACACACACACATATACATCACACTTATACTCACACATATACTCACACACACATATACTCACACACACACATACATCACACATATACTCACACACACATACATCACACACATCCTCATATTGACGTGAAAAATTACATCATACACATGTAGAAAGACTGCATGTACACATACACCTATAAATATAAACACACACACACTCATACATCTCACTAAACACACACATATTCCAACTTCACACATAAATGTACGCATACAAACACACATATACATCCAACATACACACATATACACTATATAAAATATCCCATATACACACATATCTATATATATATATATATATATATATATATATATATATATATATATATATATATATATATATATACATACATTCACGCGCGCGCACACACACACACACATATAAATATATATATAGGCACGTCGACGTGTATCAAGTACTCGCTTTTTCTCTCTTTTTCATTCTCTCTCTCTCTCTCTCTCTCTCTCTCTCTCTCTCTCTCTCTCTCTCTCTCTCTCCCCCTATCTCTCTCTCTCCATCCGTGCTTTTGTATTTGTACTCTACATATATGTAATGAATTTTGATAGACCAACATAATATGTTTGATATTTAAATACACAACTACCGTGTGAAACGTGTGTTTGAAAGGATCGAATGAAAAACGAACCTGAGTAACCAGATGGTAACCCTTTGGAAATAACGTTTTTACTTTCTCTCTCTCTCTCTCTCTCTCTCTCTCTCTCTCTCTCTCTCTCTCTCTCTCTCTCTCTCTCTCTCTCCCTTTATCCCTGTCTCTCTCTGTCTCCCTCTCTCTCCCGTAATTTGTTAGTACCAGTCCGTTACGTCTGAAATGTTCCTGATAGCAAAAACAACAACAGGAAAAAAAAGTAAACAATCATCTCAATCTCTCAGATCAGCGAGGTGCCCCTGACCTTGATCTTCGTCTGCAACCTGACCATCATCATCTTCTTAAAACGGCAAAACATGAAGGTCCATAGTGAGAAACGAAACAAAAAATTCAAGCGAGCCACAAACATGGTGAGTTGTGTAGAATTTGTTTTTTCTTTGTAAATGTAAAAAGTGTAGACAACAGCAGCGACACCTGCTGTGTGTGTGGTTGTGAGTAGGGCTGTCGACATTGGGGGGGGGGGGGGGGGGGGGGGGGGGGGGGGGGGGGAGGAGGAGGAGGAGAGTGGAAAAAAGGGGGGAATAGTGTCATTTTTCTTAAAGTACCAAAAAGCACGAAAATCGGCACCTTTTCTTAATTTGTAACTGAAAAACAATAAATATATATATATATATATATATATATATATATATATATATATATATATATATATATATATATATATATATATATATGTGTGTGTGTGTGTGTGTGTGTGTGTGTATAATAGGCAGCCTCATATTTGATCAAACTGGCAATTCATTGTTCATTACATCAGTGCCGTGCCATTTTTTGTTTCTAACCTGTTGTGGCAGCTTTCAGTTGGTGCGATCAGTGTCCTGAAGCAACAGGCGAACCGGCTGACGAATTTTTCAGCTCGGACAAAATGGCGAAATGCCCCTATAAACTTCGAGAACACAGCGCCACCCCACCTCAGAAGGCAGCTGCACCTGCCTTTTTGGGGACACTTGCCTGCAAAGTATCGATTTGCCCGCCGGAGTAATAATACTAAAGAGCTTTTGATTTGTCAACTGGCCCATCACTGAAATACATTAGCATAAATCAAAAACCAACAATAAATATAATGAACCGCTATACACGGCAAATGGCTACAGGTTCTGGAACAGAACGACTGTCCATGACGAATTTTCCTAATCCTACTGCACCAGCCGAATTATCCTTAAACCCTACTGACCAATCAGAACCTTCGAATACTTGTTTATAATTTCAGATTGACTGCCCGGTAAGCTCCCCCCCCCCCCCCCATCCCCCAACCCCTCTTCGGCTGTATATGCACATCAAATATAAAGAAACCTCCACCTTCAGCGGCACTGATACAACGGCGAAAAAGTCACTATAGCGGTGCACATTGTCTGCTCACTATGTTCCTGAAATCGACCTATATCCCCTAAGAAACACCTGGAACTATTAGAAAGAAAACCCCACATATCGCAGCCTAGCTTCGAACCCACTAGCGACAAAATTCCATCTTGGGAGGAGAAATAATCCCACTTCTTGAGATACAATTCCATATTGGGAAAAAATTACATCTTGGGAAAAAAATTGCCATCTGAAGGGGGAAAAATCGACATTTTGGGAAAAAATTCAATCTTGGGAAAAAATTATTGGGAAAAATTCTGACTTCTGGGGAAACAATTCTGACATCTTGGGTAAAAAATTTCAATTAGGGAAAATAATTTCGACATGTTGGTAAAAAAAATTCCGTCTTGAGAAAAAAATTGTTCTGACTTCTTGGGAAAAACATTCTTGGGAAAAATGACCACCCAGATTTGACGCCCCTGACAACTTGGAAAAAAAATCTTGGGAAAAAATCTAACTTAGATTTTTCTAAAGTTTTACTTTTTGAACTGAAGCTGAAGGTAGGGGTAAAGCTAGGGTGAAGCTGAAGTATACTGCAGCCTGAAGTAATTACTGCAGTTACTTAATGCATTTCATTATGTACGCCTTATACTACTGATAAAGTTTATGTAGATGCTGATTCTCAAGAAGTTGTAGTTTCTCATAACGTCGCTCATTGTCATGAAGTTGTTGTTTCTCATGAAATTGCTGTTTATTTTATAACTGTTGGTTTCACATTAGGGTGTGGTTTTTATCCATTATGTTTTTCCCTATAAAGCTGTTGTTGTTTCTCATTAAATTGCTATTTCTCATGAAGTGGCTGTTTCTCGAGTTTTTTCCCCTAAGTAGTTGTCTTCCTAATGAATTGCCATTGCCAGTTGTCCAAGAAAAATTCCAAATTTGATCCTCTTTCAGCCGCCCGAGGGCCTGCTATATCGAAGAAGGGTCCTTTGCTGCCTTATATGCTTTCCTTTTATTTGTGGTGTGTAGACACACCTGATATTATTGTTGTTTGCTTCCTTGCTGTGCTGCGTTGTTTGCGGTTTTGGGTTCTGGTGTGTTCCAGATCTCTTTGCGGTGATATTGACGGGTACTAGCTGACTGTTGCTGGTGCTTGGTTTGCCTCGTGCTAGTCGCTGTGCTGGTGCCCTGTTGCTGCTTGGTTGCCGATCTAAAAGCCGCCGGAAAAAGCCAAACAAACATCCGTTGCGCCGTCGATACGAACAATGTTCCTTTTCAGGACAAACAGGGCCGTCACAATCTGTTGTTGTGATCGGCCCCAAAAAAAAAAAAAATTTTTTTTTTTCCACGGAGTGTGGAGAAGTAGTGGAGGTAAGATAGACTGCAAATGAGAGGTCAGTTTGCCCGAATATGCCAGTAGATGTGATAGTGAGGTCGGGAGAATGAGAGTGACAGATAGAGGCAGGATCCATCCCGGTCGGCTGAGGTCACTTGGTCTGAAATAAAAGTGAAAGGCAATTGTTAACATACACGTGGGGTGGGATGGGGTGGGGTGGCATGACGGTGACTGGAATTCCCAAGTGTCTGGTCCCCTTAGGTGCTGAAAATAAATGCCCTCGGCTGTCTGCGTCGGAGCGTCGGTACGCGACGCTGTGGTGTATTGGTTTTTGACTGTCTTCGGTTTTTTCTGAAAAAATGGGAACTAGATTAAGATTTTGGTTAGTTGTGCGGGACAACATGCTCTTGTATTCTTCAAGCAATCTCTCAGCCTCGCAGTTGGCGCAGGCTCTGTTCTTGCCGCCAGCACTGCAGCTTCGGCTTCTGCTTTTGCCTGGATCATAAGGGTGACTTCTTTATAAGTGCTCTCGCGGGCTTCCCTTAGTGCTTCGGTTTCCTTTCGTCTCTCCTCCCT